TACACTTAAAAATATAACTATAGTGATTATAGTTGTTAATAATAACTTGAAATTCATCTTGTTTTATTATCATATAAGTAAATATCAAATGAATAAAATTTTAATGATTTAAATATAAATTTTTAATTACTAATTAATTATAAATTTTTCAATATTAATATTTAATTTTAATAATATAACAATATTAATTATAAAAAACTAAATAAACTAAGAAATACTAAGATTGATTTTATCATGACATTTATAATTTTCTAAAATAATATCTTTGTATTCAAACTGTTCTAAATTAGTATATTCATATTTAAATGAAATTGTTGGAAATTCATATGGTTCTCTTTTTATTTGTTCGTTTAAAGTATCAATATGATTATTATAAATATGTGCATCACCAAGAGTTAAGATAAGTTCTTCAGTTTCAAGACCAGTGATGTTAGCAATCATATGAGTTAATAATGCATAACTCGTAATATTGAATGGTACACCTAATCCCATATCACCAGATCTTTGATATACATGACATGATAAACTTTTTCTTTTTGTCTCATCATTTAAATTATTAACATAAAACTGAACAAAAACATGACAAGGTGGTAATGCCATTTTATCTAAATCTTTAGGATTCCAAAAACTAATCACGATTCTTCTACTTGAAGGATCTGTCTTGATTAAATCAATTACATATTTTAATTGATCAAAACCTTGACTAGTATAATCAGTTTCACAATTAATATATTTTACACCAGAATGCCTTAATTGAAATGCATATATTGGTCCTAAATCATGATTATTTTCTGCATTTTTATCCCAAATATGAATTCCCTTTTCTTGTAATATTCTAACATCTGTACTACCACTAATAAACCAAAAAAGTTCTTCTGCAATTGCTCTAAAGAACATTTTTTTACTTGTCAAAAGAGGAAATTTTCTATTTTTCAAACTAAATCTTAATTGAGAAGGAGAAAAGATTGATAAAGTTCCAGTGCCAGTTCTATCATTTCTTTTTTCACCATTCTTTAAAATATTTTTGATGAGATTTAGATATTGATATTCTTCATGAATTATATTAAAGCTTATTTCTTTTATATTAAAATCAAATTGATTAGATACAAGAATATATTCATTATCAAATTCATGATCTTTATTTAATTCTAAATTAAAATTCTTTGATTCATCTAAATTTTTATCAGATGTGTAAATATTTTTAAAATTTTGTTTAATTTTATTTATAATATTTTTATTCTTTAAAAATTCTTGATTATTTTTTATATAATTAAGAACCACATCGATAATTGTTTCATCACTATCATCACCATAATATAAATAATCATCTTGAAGTAAATCACTTAATTTTTTTTTTTTAGACATTATTGTTATAATATAATAAAATATTAAAATGTTTTGCTAATATTTATAAATTAAATTAATTATTAATTATATTATTAAAATATTAAATTATATAAACTCAATTTTTTTATTTTTAATTTAATAAAATAAAACAATGATTCAATTACCAACAGAAATATTAAATAAAATTATTATCTTTAATAAAAATAATATAAAGCTCTATTATCTTTAATATTTGTTTCAAGAATAATATGTATCTATGCGATGCCATTCTTATAGGATGAATACTTTAAATATTCTGATTACTCAAAAACTCTACCTGTTTTATACAATGAATTACCAGAAGATAAACAAGAATATATTAAAAATAATAGTCAAGATATAATTGATTATGATACTTCATATCCTATGGATTACATGTTTGAAACTTAGAAATATCATCACTTTTCAATTGAATGGTGTAAAAGAAAAAATACCTTTCTTTATTCTTCTTTTATAACTCGAATTTATCCTGAAAACATATGTAATTATCTAAAAGATGAAAAATTTTGTTATATATTTTTAAATTTAATTTTAAACAATAGTAAAATAATAAAAGATATTGATAATTATTATATGTGTTGTTGAGTTTTTGATTGTAATATTTTATTAAATTATATTAACAAAATACAAAAATTTAGAATACAAGTTAAAAAATCTGATTTAAAGGAATTTAAGAAAAAAATGAAATATAAATTTAAAATAAGTAATGATTCATTTGATAATGTAATAATACAATATTCAATAAAATATTTATAAATTTATACTTATATAATTATTTAAAAAAAAACCTATTATAGGAAAATCTTAAATATCTATATAAATAAAATATAATAAAAATTAAATTATATTTTTAGAAATTATATTGTTATTAATTTTAACTAATTTATAATTTATCCTTCAAATTCTTTATATGCTTTACGTTTAGCTAAATAATCAGCTTGTATATTTCTATAAACACTACGACTCTTAACTTCTATAAATTTCACAACTCCTTCATAATTAATAATCAAAGATTTTAACCTTCTTTTTAATTCAATATGTTTTTTACATTTCTCATCACGTCCTGTTACAATACTCATAACACATCCACTATCAATAATAATTTCTAGATTTTCAATATTTTTACATATTTCAAGAGCTCGGATAACTGCACATATTTTAGCTCGATTACTATCATTATGATCTGAATGTAATCGTTCTGATAAATTACAAGGATCATTATTATCAAAAAATACACCAATACCAGATCTTTTTGTTCCATTATAAAAAAAACTACCATCAGTAAAAACTCTTGTAACTTTATTATTATTCATAATGATTGTAAAATTTTTGGGATTAATTAAATACATTAAAATAAAAATCAATTTAAATATATTATTATAATTATAATTATTAGTAAAAAACATTTAAATAATATAAAATTAAAAATTTAATTACTAAAATTAATAAATTTAAATTCTATTCAATAGTTTAAAAAAATTTTTTTTTTTAATCATAAATAAAAAAAATTAATAATAATATTATTAAAAATAAAATTATATAAACATAAACATAATTTTAAACTAAATAAAATTTTATTCATATAATTTTTTAGTTATGTCTAAAAATGAAACATTTAGTGATGAACTAGTAAATGACTTTTTAGATTTATATAAATCTAAAGATAAAAGTTATGATACAATCATTTATATTGATAAAGAACCATATGAAGAAAAGATATATGCTCATTCATTAATTTTATCTACACGATCGGTATATTTCTCAAAAGCTTTATCTGAAAATTGGGTTAAAAAAGAAAATCAATATTTTGTTTTATCACAACCCAATATTAATATATTAATATTCAATATTATTCTTAAATATCTATATTGTAGAATATTAGATTTTGAGAATTTGGATATTGATATGATATTTAGTCTTTTAATTGCTGTCGATAAACTTTTGATTCAAGAACTTTTTAATCATATACAAATTTATTTAGTTACAAGTGATTTATTGGAATCACAACCTTGTAAAATATTAAATTTTGTTTTTAACAATCCATCATTTACAACTATTAAAAAAAATCTTTTAGAAACTATTTGTAAAAACCCAAAAATATTATTTGATCATGAAGAATATTCTATATTGGATAAAGATGAATTGAATTTAGTTATTGAACATGATAATCTTGATATGAAAGAAAATGATATTTTTAATTATATAATCAAATGGAGCACTAATAAAGATGAGAAAGTATTGCATAATTTAATTAAACATATTAGATTTTATCAATTTTCTCTTAGTGAATTCACTAATGTAGTATGGAAGTATCAAAACCTTTTATCAAATGAGTTGATTTAAGATATATTAAATTGTTATTCAAATTCAAATTTAAAACCAACATATGATACATCATTAATTAGATGGGGAAATTTCACTATTGAATTAGATTTAATTAATCGAGAAATTGCTTTATTATTAACAAAATGGATAGAATGAATAGATATAAAAAATGATAAATCAAAGGAAATAAAATATAAATTTACATCTTTATATAATAGTCGTATAAATGGATGGTCATCACAATCATTTTATTCCAAATGTGATAATCATAGTATGACTATTGTAGTGTGTAGAATTAATAACACAACTCTTCTCATAGGTGGATATAATCCACTTGATTGGAATGAAAATTTAAAATACAAAGAAACAACAGATAGTTTTCTGTTTGTAATTGATTATAAAAATATAAAAAAATATGAAGTAT